GATTAGAGCAGCTTGCCTCATTTCATATCGAAATTCTCTGATTTATGACAGGGCACCAGCCAAGATCTATCTCTAAAGGGAATTAGTGTGCAATTCCTGCATATTTCTGTTATTTAGCCTCCCAATAGCAGATGCTATAGCCTTAGAGAGAGGGAGGGGGGGGGGGTGAAAAAGGAATGAAAGCAGCATATAGGTATCTTTTCATTTCAGCAGACGTAACCATGGCCATTTAGAAGAGCAGAAAATGACACAAAAGCAGACTTGAGAAATGGAGGTATTTCCCACTTTATGTAGGATGTTGACAGAGAGTCTTATTTCAGGGCACAATGAAAAATATGCAGCTCCTAACTAAGCATATACACAGCTTTTCCCAGTGTGGATAGTGGTGGCGGCGGCGGCGGTGGTGGTGGTGGTGGTGGTGGGAGAACACAGACTGTGAGGTTGGCTTTGGCCATTTTATTCTAACAAAAAAAAAAAAAAAAAAAAAAACCCCTTGAAACCCTTCCACCCTTGGGGCAAAAAAAAAAAAAAAAAGACCCTTGCAACTCATCCATCCTTGAGGCTAAGAAAATATTAATACGCAGAGCGATAACGAGAGCTAGAGGAAAATCTCCCTTAATGAAATTTCCAGTTGACCACATGCAATTTGTTTCATCGCAGTGAACAACTAATTGCAATGGACGTTATCAAGGTGTGAGTGTGCTGTCTGCTGTAAACTGACTGGTAAAACAGGTACAAATCCTTTATCCTTACTCCCATGTTAGAAACAGAGAACATATAAACTTGACATAACCCATACATAAGCTTGTTTTTTTGTTATATTTATACTGCTAGTGGTGTTGTCTGAAACGGACGTGGCACTTTGAAATTATTGCGTTGCTAGGACGTTAACACAAGGTCAAATGTAATGCAGGGGAGAGAAAGCCAACTGTTTTTATTAGTAGCAAAAGAGGAAATCAGACAATATTCAAAAAGATGTTTGTACTATTAGTGAGTGAAACATTTCAACTGGTGTTTTTGTTTCAAAATGGCACTACTTCATACCGAGTGGGTGTTGAAAGCAGGATATAAAGCCCATGAATGTCTTGAGATATTCAGACGGAGTGGTTTTGATCTCTCAGTTGTCTAAATCCTGCAGCTGTGGGATCAAGACAGATACAGTGCCAGTCAGTGACCTTGGTGGAGGGAAAAAAAAAAAAAAAAAAAAAAAAACGATGTGGAAAATAATCATTCCCACCAAGGTTTGTATCGATTTCACCTGCCCTGACCATGAAGCGGGTTAAGAGTAGCCAGTGGTGGTGAAATGGTCAGCGGTGATATCATTAGCTTGTTGTTTACACAGGGAAGCAGGGAGTTAGAAGAAGGCTGAGTGTCACAAGCCACTTTCTTCTTCACCTCCTTCAGCTGATCAGAGGATCATGGTATCAAGGAGGGATTAGTAGCGACTTGGGATTTGTGTGATTGGTTAATTTATTGCGGTGATGGCAGGTCTTTCATCTATGGCAACATTTAATCAGCGCAGCCACAGAGGCTATTACAGGTTAGCTCCTTTCTGGAGTCAGTCCGGCTGTGCCATCAGCTCTATCACAATTCCCCTGAAATTTCCAAATTATCTGGAACAGGCTTTAGCTTCTCAGTAATAAAAATTAGAACAGATTCCTGATAGAAGCTTTTGCTCACACAGGGCCAATTATAAATAGTACAGCCTTGCCTTGGAAGAGGGAAAAGGGGAAGGGGAAAAAAATCCAAGTCTGAGAGATGTGCACGGAACTTATCGTTCAGCCCCTGCTCCGCTCTGATCCAAATCCGTGTGGCTGAAAATTTATATTAGATTTTATCACAGAGGCCTAAGTCTAGAAAAATCAATGAAGGTTATCTTTTATGTTGCAGCAACTTGTGGAAATATTGATTTTCATTTTATAGCGAATTTGGAGCATCAGTTTGTAATCACTTCCTCGCTGACTACACTGTTTTGGTCACTGTATCTCTTACACGAGCAACGGTAACAGAGCTCAGAGAAAAAAAAAAAAAATTACGGAGAGTATTGAAACCACTGGAGTGAAGGCAGAGGGTGGATAAACCATAACACACTACATAGAGAAGAAGGCCAGAGAGGTTTTTACTGGCTCTGACAGGGATAATAGACTGTAAACTGATATTAAACACTGTATCTCGATAGAAAACACATATATTTACTTGTGTTATTTAATATCTATTACAAACCCCTGCAGTGAACATATGATAAATATATAAGAATATATTATGCTTTTTTTTTTGCATTTTTCACATCAAAAAGATGACATTAAAATAACTAATAGGTTAAGATTAGGCATTTCTTTTTAATGCAAACACATGTATTTTTTGCAGCTGACATATTTATGTATCCATTAGGGGTCAGCATATTTTACAAACTCCTCGAGAGCTGTTTCGGGCAGGAAGGAGCTTCCATACGTCACATCCACTGGCTGTATGATTTTTAGGTAGAAGAGGAGAGGAGAGTTTGTTTCTATAAAACCATTTCATCATATACCTTCTCCCTCGCTCCAGGGAAATGGTAATTTTCTGCCTGTCAATCTGCATTTCTCCTGGACTCGGCCACTTAGGCCAGCTGATCCGGTTGTACAAATGTTTTCATTTGCATTTGCAGACGCTCCTCCCTGCAGTGACGCCATTATGTCTTAATCCTAAATATGTTGTGTGCGGTTTGCTCTCCTGCATTTCTTTGTCTTTGTGACGGCTGGTACATGCAGCATGCTTACAAAGCGCATTGGGCACCATTGTCACTATAGATGCATTATGTAAATCTGCACTGAGAGACAGTCATGGGTTGTTGCTGCTCAGTTTCCAACAAAAAAGAAGCAAAGAAAAAGTAGTAATTGACAATTAAATCAAAATAATACAAAATACCCATAGTGAGAATTTCAAAAGTTTCAATCAAAGCAATAACTAAAGGAACAATTGTGATTGCTACAATTATTTCTAACAAATTCCTTCTGATTTACAACAGTGGGAGGACGTCTGGTTAATGTGCTGTTTTGTCCCTGTTGGCTACATTAAGAGCAGCTGGAATATCATGAATTCCCAGAGTCTCAGAGGGACGGCAGAGAGGCCTCTCGCTGCTGAATAAGAGATGGCTCCTGTCTGGAGATCTAAGAAAGGGTTAATCTGATTCCCATTTCAGATAGTCGTCCTAGCAACAATCGGCCGGTCTGCTCTGCTCCTTTGACAGGGGTGTGAGATTTTCAGGTTAGCCAGATAGAAGACTTTATTGTGAGGCTAATTTGAAATGTGAAATCGCGGATGGCTTAAATTACAGAGGTCCTCTCTCTCTCTCATCTGCTGCCAGGACGGGATAAGAAGATGCCAGAAGAAGGAATAAGAATATCAATAGACACAATTTACTGTCTGTGTTTGATCAGTTTGGCAGTGCAGTTTGCCAATGTGCAAAGCTATACATATAAGGACTATTTAGAAATCTGTCTTTATTTAGTGTCTGTATTTGTTTTCTTAATTTTGCTGACAAAATTTGAACAGATTCTTATCGTCCCTCTGAGATGTATTTGCTGTTGGTGAATAATTCTCTCTTAAAAAAAAAAAAAAAAAAAAAAAAAAAATCAGTGTGTCCTCCAGCCTCCGACTAGATAGAGTTCATGGAAAGAGAAATGGGTGGGTGGTGGAGGAGGAGGAGGGGGCATGCAGGCGCGCTGCCGGAGCACAGTGCTCATCTCTTGTGCATATCTGTGCCAATTCAGACCTTTAACATGCTCAAGTGACATTTGCATTTATCCTTGAAGGTTGTTGCCTTTTGCGGGGGAGAAATAAGTGAAAAGCACAGGAGAGGACCAGTGTTTTTCTGTTGCATTAGGCAGATGGACAGTGTCCTGTCGCTGCCTGCCTCAGATGGAAAAAGAAATGAAGTGTCGAGATTGCACGCCAACCCATTTTCTCTTAGCTAAACTATTTCTGTAACATCCTAATGAAGGAGGGCCCAAGGGTTCAAAAGTAATGGCCTTGAAATACTGACATTTTGCCTTTAAGTAATAGGCTACTGTACCCAGCTGCCTGAGATGTTGCTGCCACCCCCGCCTAACCCCCACCCCCACACCCTCCCCCTAACACACACACACACACACATATCACCAGCACACATTTTGCAGTAAAAGTAAAAAAAAAAAAAACAAAAACAAAAAAAAAAACACAAAAATGAAATAAAAATGAAAAAATCACATGTGGATAAACTGGTGACACTGCGCCATGTGAATCTATTATGGTGGACGTTGTACTCTATCTCCGTTTTATTTTTTTTCCTTCTGAGAAATAAAGCTCCACTTTTGACCTCTGACCGGGAAGAAAAATGACCTTACACATTCAGAATAATTTCCCAGCATATTATAAAAACTCTAACCTCAATCGCCCTTTGAAATGGATACTGATTCTTTAAATTCTTCCCTGCTTGTTTCAGGAAATAGTGAGATCATGGCGATAGCGAGGCACAATGTGCCCAAAGTTCACCGCTGAACACTCGCTTCCTTCTCTCTGAAAGTCACCAGCCGTTTTTTTTTTTTCCTCTTTCTTTTTCTTTCTTTTTTTTTTTTTTTTTATAATTCCCAGACACCTGAGATGTTCTTGTTAATCTAAGAGATCTGATGCTGAATCATTGGGTTCAATCCTGGATGAGAATTCCTCCTTTTCTTTTACAAAGCAGGCTCTTGCCCCCATTTGTCACCACTCCAACCACTGCAGCCTTAGTCTTTTGGCCATCACACACACACACACACACACACACACACACACACAGAACCTGCCCTGATTCTCAAATCTTCTCAGCAACGTTAAAAAAAAAGGGATTGGGTGGACTTAAGTTACATGCTTTATAGTTTGTGAAATTGTCTGTTTATGGCCATTCAGAGCGGCAGAAGAGCGTAACTCAGTGGTTATTAGTGTTTCTTTAATCAGCAAAATAAGCAAATGATTAGTGTTTGTTATCTGTTCCTGTCCAGAAGACGAAGAGCACGGTCCCGGTGGTGCTAAGCGCCGGCCCCAGGTGGCTGCTGGATGTGACTTGGCAGGGAGCAGAAGACAACAAAAACAACTGTGTGGTGTACAGCAAAGGTAAGCAAGCAGCGCCGGCATCCTGTTATCTCTCCGCAGCGCAACACACCACGCCACAGCACCACAGCAAAGACACTGACAATTCTCCATCCACTCCACTCCTGCCTGTCTCTCTCTCTCTCTCCCCTCTCTCTCTCTCTCTCTCTCTCTCTCTCTCTCTCCCTCTCTGTCTTTCTTTTACTTTTTCTCCCCTCTTTCCTGCCCTCGTTGCTTCTCAAAGTCACAAACAAATAAGTAATCACAAGCAAATAATTGCATGTGCACAGCTACAAGGACACACAACAAAAAAAGACATACGTGCACACATTCTCACACCATATCTGTTTTTCTCATCCAAAGAGTAATTTATATCACTAAAACTCTGATTAGGAACTGAGAAACATCACTTGACACACAGAGTTAATGGTCTTTAGATTTCACAAGGTAATTAATGCTCCTTTTTTTTTCTCTTTTATACTAAGTGAATCCCTATCTCAGAGTAGATAGCGAGCAAAGCACGAGTGGAGATGGGATTGCCATTTTGCTTCATTTGTTCTCTCACTAATTCAGCAAAGCTTTAGCTGTATATCTTTAATAAATCAGACGTTCATACGAGCCCTCTAGAAATGGATTTATGTAAATATGAGAGGGAAAAAAAAAACAAAAAAAACAACATATCTGTCATGAAATCCATGTTGTTTATTCACGGTTGACCCCTAAAACTACAAAAACCCCAAATGACCCACTGACATAAAGATAAATTCCTCAATCTGCTGCATTGTGTCCAGAGAAAAGCCTCATTAAAAGAGCCCAACATGGATCTGGAGAGGACTCAGTTTGTTGCAGACTGAATGGGAAGATGCTTAAAGTGTATACAGCCCTGACAGTCCAGTCTGTGGCTTCACTCCTCATGAAAGCACGAGACGTCTACAGCTATAATTGGGTCTTGACGGGTGTTAACCAGAGAGACACTAGCAAAATAAATACGTAAATAAAGATGTGTTTTGGATTCCAAAGGGTGAGGGAAAGGGGGCTCCCATTTATCACTTTTCAAAAATGATTACCCCGTGACAATACCCCCAAAGCTGAAATGGAGCTTCTTCTCCCTCAAAGTGAATAAGTGGCAGGAGTGGGATTTGCAACCCGGATTTTCGGTCTCCCAATTCTCATCTACTAATCACTAGACTGCACTGGGGAGTTATCCTCTTAACCGGCTACTTAACTTTGTGCTCTTTATCACCAAATCATTAAAGTTTTGATAAGCTGTTAAAGAAGATTATGCACTTCTTTAAAATCTTCTAATCTTTTTGCTCGGAGACTGACTGTATGAAACAAAAAAAAAAAAAAAGGGGGCAATAACAGTCTTTCTCACTTTCTTTCTTTCTTTCTTTCTTTCTTTTTTTTTTTTTTTGTTAAGTCTAGAGAATTTCCTCTGCCGCTCTTCATACATGTGTCGAGATAGCATCACATCCAGCATCATCACCTCAGCTCTGTTTGTCACTTCTGGTTTGACCTTATTAAATTAAACACAATAACATCTCCACACGTCCCCTTGTGAGTTGCTCTGTGTTGTGCTGTATAAGTTCGTTACTCTAAATCCTCCGCTAGAATCAGCACACAACTTGCAGAACTGATGTTACATGATAATAGAGGGAGTTTTGAATACAAAGAATTAATTTAAATCCTAGATTAGGAAATAAATTATCTCGTCACTTGGTTGTAGCTGTGAGACAATCGCACATCAAATACATCAGGCACAGTTTTACCATGAGTTTTCAGAGGGATTGTTCATTTCATTAAATAATAATGTCAGAAAAGAGCTGTCTTGAGTTTTCACTTTGACTTTGAAAGGAATACCACGGTAAATATCAAAAATTCGATACTACTGTGATACCACGAGGTACAAAAAATTCATGCTGTGTAATCCCACACTTGACTCGAGCAGCTTTGTAGCAACTTTGCCACAGAGCTTTGGATAAATTGGTTGGGTGTCCGTCTTTCTCGGCTCTCCAACCAAAAATTGTTCCACATTTTGCTCGTGGCGATTTCTTTTTTTTTTTTCTTACTTGGACTTGGACTAAGTTCAGAAAGTGGTGAAGTGTTTGATGCCGTTCAACCGTTTGACTCTTGCGTCCGGACTCGATATATACCGCACATTCTTCTTCATCGCCTTCTGTTAAATATTCCAATCTGCGTGTGTGTGTGTGTGTGTGTGTGTGTGTGTGTGAGTGGGTGAGTGTGCGTGCACCCTCTGGAGGTGACATTGAAATTGAATGTCGGCGTGGTGGAAATATCAAATCTTTGTCAAATTCAAAATTGAATTTGGTCTTTCTGCTGCAGTTTGGGAGTAGCTCTGGAATTGTGTTTATCGTGTCGACACCGGCGTGGATTGACTAAAGGGAAACGGCTCCTCAGTCCAACAGGAACTTTCTCGCCACCTCGAAAAAAGCTGAGGCCCCAGATTGTTTATATCTTCACCCCTGTGCTGTTTCCCCTCTGTCGGCTGCTTCATTGCTCCCTGAGATGCGTTACTTATGGAAAACAGTGAATATCTCAATACACAGTATGCTTGCAGAATATGTTTTGGCTCACGTTTCAGTGGTCTCGGCTTTCTTTATGGCTGCCTGAAAAGATAGTAGCAGTTCACTTTGGACGCTTGCCAGTCTGAATCTATGGGGGAGTATCTTTAAGTAAGGACTGGTGATTGGTTTGAGTGGCTGTAGCTTACTGCTGGGCGTTCTGTCCTATGATTTCTGCATTACATTTTGTACAACTGCTCATCTTCCATCCCCGAAAACTTGTCATTCAGGAAGTCGGGGGGAAATATGTGCAGAGAGGGAGAATAGACAGGATTCAGCAAAACAATTCCTTTGAGAGTTGTGTTCCTGCAGTGTGTTATGTATAATACATGCAGTGGAATGTGTAACAAGCAGCAGGGTGGTGTAGTCCGATCCCCTACAGGGCGCCCCTGGACATCACCACCAACACAAGCTAACTATAGTGACAAATATAGATTTTTTTTTTTTTTTTTTTGCCTAATGCTGGGATCCTATAATAATATGATGTCTTCCCTGACAATTTGGATTCTGTTTCCTGTCTCTATCATTTCATCCAGATGAACAGAAAGACAGGAGCATTAAAAAAATTAGAAGTCAAAGACCAGGAGTAATGTTTGAGGCATTTAAATGTCTCAAATTATGATTCACAGAGCCATTTCATGAATATAAATTCTTCTTTGAATTCCTTTTCTTAAAATGAGTGGCAGCACGAGCCCTGAAGTGGAAGTAGAAAATGTGCAATATCTGTTTTTCCCAGGCTGTCAGCATGGCCCTGTTTGTTTTACATTAAACTCCTAGGAAGAGCCTTAGCAGCCAGCCATTACTAAAACGCTCAACTCTACTACTGCGCTAACTCATTATCGAGAAATCCACCTGGAACTCCCACAATGCTCTCCTCCACACTCCGACAGTTTCTTTGAAGCGCTGAAGTTATAGAAACAGGCAGCAAGTCTGCAGAGTAATTATATGTTACAGTAATGCTGGAGACCGCGGGGAGAGAGAGAGAGAGAGAGAGAGAGAGAGAGAGAGAGACAGACAGGGACACAGAGAGACAGAAACCAGTGGAGAATTTTCTCTACAGATAAACAACAGATTGATAAACAATACAGCTGGAGAGTAGGAGACATTTAACACAGAAAAAAGATTTTTTTTTTCTTGTAACATCTCCAAGTTGAATTTGTTACCAATGGAAACTCAGTTCAAATGCTGGAAGGATTTTAGCAGCTGATCTATAGGTCTGTCACAGGAGCTTATTACAACCCATAGTTACCTTTTATTGGTAGGTGACCTCTAGCGGCTACAGTTGTTATAACGGGAGCAAAGGAGGAAGTCAGGTGACATGGTGTTGAGAGCGACAAAGTCCATGTTCAGAGGAGGATGGAGGGTGGATGGATGGGTCCCCGCTGCTTGTTTCCTGTTTGAAACTGATAATCAGCCTTGTTTCTTTTAACTATGACCATTACATACCCATAACCACATGTTTATTCCTGTAACCATGACAGCAAAGGTCCTTTAACCAACATATGTGCTGAACCCAAACCAAACCCTGTCCATTACAAAAACCACGTGTTGAGTAATTTAACCACGAAGACGAAAGTCTGTGTTTTTATTATTGTAACCATGACAGCAAAGGTCCAGTACACCTGACGCCGTAGTGGTGCAGTTTCAGGAGACGCTCCTATGTGTCATATCCAAGGTTAAGGACTAGTTCTTGTTGGCTTAGCAAGCCAATAAACATCAAGTCTAGTTGTGATGCATACATCTGTAAGGCAGATCTTATTCCATATTTTTCTTATTGTGAACAAAAAAATTAAAAATTAAAAAATGTGTTAGCTAATTTTTAACTTCCATACTCAAACCCAAGCCTATTCCTTCCTGGTGAAGACATAAATATTCAAGAACAGGTCATAAATATATTGTTTTATTTTTAGAAAGGGCTAAATATGAATGTTGTTTTTAGCAAATGTTACTCAACCTGGAGTAAATTGTGCTTTTGGACTATTTTCTGCACCAGATGAACACTCATTTAGCATTTACAGGACGGTGTACCGGGGACTGAAAAATAAAGTACAGTCCACATGTTCACAGCAGTGAAGGAATATGTCACCCAGTGCAATGCTGTGGCTGAATGATGTGTTTTTAATACTCGTTAGTTCAGTTAATTGTTGGTTTGATCTTTTTTTAACTGGACTGTTTGACTGTGTCATTTTTAGACCTATGGTACAATATATGACTCAATTCATTCTCAGTGTGAACCCTCATTGTGCTTTCTCCATTGTTACCTGATATCAGAGCCCATTGAAACTATACACACTCTCTGTGACCACATTATGTGGCATTATTCAGAGGTCACCTAAACTTTTCAACTGTAAGCCTCTTAGGCCAGACCACATTCAGATACAGCATGTCCAATAAGTCTCCAGAGCAACTTAGCCCATTGTTCGTGCAGAAATTGACCAATGT